CTCTCTCTCTCTCTGTTTCTCTCTCCATATATATATATATATATAAACACTATTTTTTTAAATATAAAAATGGGATGGAGCTGTCTGTGTATGTCTGTGTGCATGTGTGTGTCTGTGCCTATGTGTGCATGTGTAAAAGGACACACAAGCCACTGCTGTGGCATTCAGTCAAACCTGGAAAAGAACTATTCCTCATGCAACTGTTCTACGGTCAGGGAGTCTGAATTAACACTAGAGATTTAATCCGTTTTCACAATGTAAACAATATTTGAACAAGAAGAAAATGAAACTTCAATCCCAGTTAGCACTGTTCACACACTGCCACATCAGTTTCCAGTTATTTTTCTACAGTACTTTAAAAAAATGAAATGATGCTGGGCACGGCAGCTCACACCCTTAATCCCAGCACTTGGGAGGAGGCAGGCAGATCTCTGTGAGTTCAAGGACAGCCTGATCTACGTAGTGAATTCTAGACCAGCTTGGGAAACAGAGAGACCCTGTCTCAAAAAGACAAACAAACAAATAACTAGATGAATAGATAAATAGATGAATGAATGAATCAATGAATCAATGAATCAATGAATGAAAAGGCATGCGATTTCACAGATACTTTTTTAAAAATGAGAACACCTCTATTTACCACCACAATGATCCAACACCATTCCAGTTAAAGGCTAATTAAAAAACAAAATGGAACTACAAAATATCCCTATTAAAAACTCATGATCAGGGCTGGAGATGGTTCAGCAGTTAAGAGCACTGACTGCTCTTGAAGAGGACCCAGGTTCAATTCCTAGCACCCATATGGCGGCTTAACTCCAGTTCCAGGGGAGTCTGAAGCCCTCTTCTGACCTCCGCGGCATTGCACGTCACAGGTGCACTCACATCGTTCAGGCAATACACTCATATACAAAAAATAAAAATAATAAAGTATTAAAGAAAAAACCACCTCATGACCCATGTAGAGTCTCTCTCAAGAGGTCACACACACTCATACACAAACACACATTTCTGCATGTAACTTTAGAGCCTGCAGCAGCAATCTATGAAGACCCAGGTTAAGATTCTCTGATATAGACCTATAGTATCACTCTTCTTTTTTTAATATTTTTAATATTTTATTTTTTTATATGTATGAATGTAGTGTCTGCATGTATGTAAGTGCTCTCATGCCATGCAATGCCTAAGGAAGTCAGAAGAGGGCGTCAAATCCCCTGGAACTGAAGTTACAGACAGTTGTGAGCTGCCATGTGGGTGCTGGGACTTGAACCTGGGTTCTCTGCAGGAGCAGCCAATGCTCTTAACTGCTGAGCCATCTCTCCAGGCCCAGTGTCACTATTCCTTTTAATGAAGTTTTAAAGATACATTTTTTCTAGCTCTACTTAACACTAGTTTTGCTTATTTTCATTTTTCTCAGTTGTAAAATTTCTTTCCAAATATTAACTCTCTTTTTAGCTACATGAAAAAAAGCTATTGCACTATACAATCTGTTCCTTTTTTAAGAGAGAGAGGAAAAAGAGAACGAGAGAGAATGAGAAAGAGAGAACATGAATATGAATGAAACTCATGTGCAGCCTTGGCTGGGCTGTCCTGGAACTAGCTATGAGGACCAGGCTGGCCTCGAACTCAGATATCTGCCTGCCTCTGCCTCCAGAGTGCTGGGATTAAAGGAATACACCATCGCACCCAGCCTGTTGCTTTTCTTAATACACCATTCTAATTATATTAATAACTTCTTAGAGAGTGGAAGAAAGTAGACAGGAGAGA